TGAATGAGAGTGTCATTTATTTATCTCATTCAAAATCGTGTCATTTGGACTTTCATCTCTCACATAACTCCAAAATAGAAAGGAAAATACAAGTTCGGACCAGTAAATCGAGGAATGTTAATGGTAAAGGTCGAAACTTAGCTACATTATATCCAAGTTACAGGATTGCTATTTAGCAAATTAGTTATATTATCAAATTTTGCATAAATAACCAAGCTAGTAACATAACTGCTAAACAAAACCCAAGAAAAACAGCATCATTCAAACTTTAATCTAGCGTAGCCCCCAAAATGATAAAGGACAATACAAACAAAGAAAAACTACTCATGATTTCATATAACTTAATCAATTAAGACCAGTTAATCGATGAATGTTATCGCGTAAAGGTCAGTTCTTTAACTATGTCTGAGTTACATGAATTCTATTTAGCAAACTAGTTATACTATCAAATTTTACTAAAACAAGCTATAGACTACAACTGCCCCCAAAAAAAAACCAAAGACAAGCAAAAAACAGTCCAAAGAGTCCCCAAAAAAAAAAAAGTAACGGAAGTACAAGAAACAACATATAATAACAAAAATAGCAATAGTAACAGAACGGAAACTACAACAAAACAATACAATACGATACAAGAAACAACGGATAGTAATAGAAAACGAAGGACAAGAAACTACGAGAGCAATAATATGAACCCCAAATACTCATATACACCAAATTGAATTGAAAACTACCTTGTGAAAGGTAATGTTCCCATTATGATCTGAGACAGCTGCTTCATAAACCTCAACTAACTCTCCAACTCTATTAAAGTAAATACCTTCACAAATTTTCTGCAAATTCTCAAAAACAGGTTCAAAGGCCAAAACTTTAAACCCCATTACAGCAGCTGCAAAAGTAGCCATTCCTACATTAGCTCCAACATCCAAAAAAATCCCATTTTCACCCTTCATCTTTTCCAACAATTCTTGCACAGTCACAGATATATCAGGCTTTCTAAAGGGTTTTCCTTTAAGTACCCTCTGAATATTCTTATGAGGTTTTTCAGGCAAATTCCCAAAATCTGAAAGTGAAAAAAGAAAAGGGTATTTTACACCTTCAACTACACTAGCTATAACAGGGTAAGCTTGAGGTGAATTGTAACAATCAAAAGGCTTTATTGGAAGATTAAAGATTGGATTTTTAAGGGATTTGAGGGGTTTTGGATTGTGGGGTTGGGTTTGTGATGTGAGATAGAGGAAGATAAGGAGGAGAAGAGAAGTGAAGAAAAAGAGAAGGAGATTCTTGGGGGTGAAGATCTTGATTTGTTGGTTTCTTCTCCATGAATTTGCCATTGAAAAACTCACTTTTTTTTAAAAGAAATTAGATAAAAAAACTCTTCAATTTGTGAGAAATGAGAAAGATTGGATCTTGAATTGAAGTGAAAATTTTGGAAGTGTGATTTGAACTTTGAACACTATAGAAGAAGAAGAGGATTTAGTGTGACAGTAAATATTTCACTAAATATAATAGATTTACTACTTTTAATGAATTAATAATATATATTTATTAATGTTGCTATAATCTAAATTATTTACAACATTTTATCAGTTTAATACTTAAATTACAGAATTTTGCTATTATAATTATAATATATTCTAATCTAAAAAAAACATGTAGATACATTTGACTTTTTTGTAATGTGTACGGAAAATAAGTAGAATAAAAAATCTATATAATAACTAAAATATGTTCATCTTTACTTGTTTTATAATCAGTTTGTTCAAAATATTTAACTGATAATAGATGTATGAAACTTTTTAAAAAAAAAAAACTAACCCTCTTCATTTGTTTTTTCTTCTTCTTAATTAATGTACTATTGTGTTTCGAATTTATTGTAAGTTAATTGAAGTATAATGCTTGAATAAAATTTATCAAAAAACATTATACAAGATTTGATGGAGTAAATTATAACACCATCCAAACTTATGAATCACTCTTGATGTGTTTGTTGCACATTGAAGAAAGTCGACTTTGAATTTCAAGTATGAAAGATGTACCAGATAAGCTTGGTAAAATTGACAAAAATGAAGATTGATAGTTTAAACTTTAGAAAAATTAATTTCAATTTTTAATATATATATCTAAATTTTAGACACACATATATATATATTCAATTTCGATTTGGACAAGCCACAATTCTAAAATTTGCTTGTACAAGCAATATATCAAACTTCAAATAAAATTTACAATTTTGCATACGTGATTTTTTATTTTACTTTTAATTGAAGTAGCCAAATTTAATTTATGAACTTATTAGGTTGTGGCTTTAATAAGGTCCAAAAATTGTTAATTATGCACTTGGGCCAAAGCATATGGCCCAAGATCCAACAAATATAAAAAGTTCGGCCCAAATTAGTGTTAGCCCATAATCCAAAATTCTGAAACACATCATGGACCAGCCACGTGGAGACAAGTCCAAAAAGGGAAAGTGACTATATGAGTATTAATATTAATAATATTAAAATTTGATGATTTTTTTAATTAGTCGTTGTGTTCTAACTAACTTATAAGTAGAGCTGTCAAAACGGGGTTAGCCCATGGGGACGGCCTGACCCAACTCATTATTGGGGTAGGGTTGGGATAGATTTTTTCAAGCCCATTTAAAACTAGGGCTTATAAGCCCGGCCCATATACGCTCTTGACCCTTGAGGCTTGATCGGGGCCGGGCCAGGGTCAGCCCATAGGCCAAATTTTTTTATTTAAGGGTAACTTACAATTATCTCACTAGTACATAATCTAATTACTTAAATACGCGCTATGTTGTAATATTATGAATCTTACCAGATTTTGGTACGTCCAGATATATGAATCTCAGAATATATGAACTCAAAATTAGGTTAATTTGTTCTTGATACACTCTATCCAAGTAGATTCACATATATCTGAGATACATAGATAAATTTCGCGCCCTCGCTTCCCTCCCATCTTGCTTGTCACTCTCTTATCTCGCTCGCGTATTTGGTATGCGAGATACATGCTAATTACACTAGAGTTTTTGCTAGTGTTATTGAAACAACACCATTGTTTATCATATTTGATCTGAAAAATTTCTCATTTTCTTGATGTTATAGAATTATAAGTTTGAAAAGAAAAAAAAATTAAAAAAGAAAAAAAGAAGGGCTAGCCTGCCCCAGCCCTCGACCTTTCTAGGGTTGGGTTGGGTTGAGCATTTGCAGGCTCTTCCACATGAAGGGTCGGTCCGCCCTAGCCCTTCAAATTCTTTGGCCCGTGAGGCTTGGGCCCGATGGGGCTGGGCCGTCCCTTTTTGACAGCTCTACTTATAAGCATAATATTAATAATATTAAAATTTGATGATTTTTTTAATTAGTCATAGTGTTCTAACTAACTTATAAGCATATCAATTAATTCTATGGATAAGGGTCTGAAAAATACTACAATTTTGGTCGGATTTGTTGTTGCGATACTAAGCTTTCATAAGGACCTATAACCTCCCTAGACTATTTAATACCGTATTTTTTACCCCTAAACTATTTAATAGTATATTTTAAAGGTATATATGTGCCCACGTGGACACATTACTATTTATAATTTTGCATTATTTTTTATGTCCACGTGGACAAATATATATGTTTAAAATACGGTATTAAATAGTCTAGGGAGGTAATAGGTCCTCATGAAAGTTTAGTATCGCAACAGCAAATTCGACCAAAGTTGGGGTATTTTTCAGACTCTTATCCCTTAATTCTATAGAATACTTTTTATTTTTCATTAACAACTGATACTAAGTAACTTTATCTATCAAAACTAAAAACGATGAAAATAAATCATTTAATTTTTTTTTCTTTGTGCTAGATTTAAGTCAATCGATTTCATTGATGGTAAGATTGATTTAAAATGACAAAACTAGAAAGGGGATAAGAGGAGTTTAATAAAATAATATTAGTGGGAAAACATTTTTAAACCATTGAAGGAACAATTACTTGTCATACAAGTCCAAGCCATCTAAAAATTAAACCAAAATTTTTATGTACCTCCTCAATACCCAATCACAATCCTCCATAGTATATAATAATGCATTAATAAAAATAAATACATTTTTAAAAAAAATAAAGAAAAAATAAAGAAAAAAGAAGAAGAAATGATTGTACCTTTTTGGCACCTTATTCTATTTTATTTAATATTTAATTACTTACTTTGGAATTACTAGTTAAGTTCAATAGATAGTCAACATTAACCTATTTTAGATCGTTTCAATTTATGACAAATTTATAATTTAGACGTCTGAAGTTTGAATTAAGAGAGTGAATTTTGAAATACATATCTATATATGGTTGAATTTGAATATATTTTAAAATGTAGATGCATAAAACACCATTAGACTTTAATCCTCATTAAATTTTCCATTTTTTTCTTCAACTTATAATATAAAACTATAAATAAAGTGTTGGCTTTGCATGCTTGGATTGGCAAATTCTAACTATAAATCAAACTTAATTTGCACTCCATTTCTGACATATATTCTTATCTTAAATTGTTTCAAATTTGTCAACTTGTTATGTTGCTTTCTTTTCAATCTTTTCCCACAATGGAAAAATTCCCATTTATAAAATTAAAAAAAATATTCATTCAAGATCATATCTTAGCACATTTGCCATTGTAAGTTGTATATATGTATCTTCAACTTAGTTTCTTCTTTTTTTTCAATAAAAAAAAACACAAAATTAGCTACAAATTTCGTCTCTAACAAAGTTTTTCGATAATCTGACAGATTTTGTTATTTAGCTGTAAAAAAAAATCGTCACTCATTCCATTTTTATTATTAGAAGTGTTTATTTTCAAACAATATGTAACAACCATCCAAACAAGGTGTTAGTCTAAAGAATCAATACCTTTTCCAAGATTATACTCATTACTCCAATTTTATTTTTTTTGAGAAATGCAACGTTTTTTTTTCTTTTTCAAGAACTAATGTTATTAATTTTTTGGTCATGGCACAGATAATTATCAATTTCCAATGTGTTCCTCTATCTCTTCATATACTATGGTAAGGATTCTTGAAGCTCATTATCATCCTATTTATTTGATTTTATGTTCAGCATAAATGGTAAAATTGTTGTCACGTGACTAGGAGGTCACGGGGTTAAACTGTGGAAACAACGTAACCTTTTGCAGAAATGTAGGGCAAGGTTGTGTACAACAAACCTTCGTGGCCCGGTCCTTCGAAACCGCATATAGTGAGAGATTAGTGCACTGGACTGCTCTTGCCCTCGCGTTTATTAAATAACCATTTAGAATTTATATGACAATAATAATCTTGTTTTTTTTTTTTTTTTGTAGAAAATATTGGTTCTCTTGTTCATTTTAATTGGCTTGACAAATTCAAGAATATATAGTGCAAGTATATTTGGATATCCGGGAAGTTTTAATGTCCTGGATTATGGAGCTGCTGCTGATGGCATTACTGATGATTCTCAAGTAAGTTAGTTGTTATATATTTGTTCCTTTATTTGTCCCGATTAATCCAGATTCACACCACATAAGGCTTATTAAAAGAAGAAGTGCTCCTGGTTGGTGTCCCATCGGGTGTCTGGTACCTATACTGTGGCCCCCACTAATCCAGATTCACACAGGCTTATTGAAAGAGGAAGTGCTCCTAGTTAGTGTCCCACCGGGTGTCTGTTACCTATACTGTGGCCCCCACTAAAATGGATTCGTGTTGCATAAGGTCTATTAAAAGGAAAACACTCTCGGTTGTGGGCCCCGCCTAGTCCGAGCTAGTGCCATATATAACTCATAGAATGGAAGAAGCAAAAAGAATGTTTGCATATTTTCGTTAATCCATGAACATGATCTATAATGCCTATTAGAAGGGAAAACACTCTTGGTTGGTCCCCTCTTGGTATTCGGTAGCTGCATTGGAGCCTGACTAATCTGGATTTGCATGAAGCACCCCTGGTTCTGATGTCCACTAGCGGCATTGAGGGCCCGACCTATTTAAGGGCGAAACTTCTCCCTACTATGATTTTTTCCATACACAGAGCTTGAATCCAAGACCTTCAATCAACTCTTCTTGCTTGTGTTCCTTTCTTTTCCACTAAATATCAAATATATTTTATTTTTTGCTCTAGAAATTAAGGAATTTTTTTAATTTTTTTTTTTTCCAGGCATTACTTAATACTTGGAATGATGCATGTTCATCCTCAGCTGGATCTCCTCAAGTGATTATTCCTCCAAATATGATATTTTTACTTAGCCCTGTGACACTCACAGGCCCCTGCAATTCAGTGAACATCTATTTTGTGGTATGAAAAAACATAAACCGCTCTTTAATATTCGTAACGGTTTAATTTCTATACACTAACATTTAAAAATAATCATTACACTATCAAATCACTTAAAGTAGACAACTCGCTATGACAAACTAATCAGTGTATATAAGTTAAATCGTATTTGGGAAATGTTAGCCTAACTGAAATATGTGAATTTCCGTGGCTCTTGTAGATATCCGGTAGTCTTGTTTCACCGAGCTCACCTAGTGTATGGACCGGGCAAGACTCGAGTCAATGGCTAGCTTTCAGAAACGTTAGCGGTCTAGTTGTTGATGGCTCAGGAACCATTGATGGTCAAGGAAAAGGATGGTGGGATCAATCATGTAGATACCACCCTGAAATGGTATGTTCATAGATAAGCTAACTTTCTTTCTCGATAACTGTAATGTCTGGATCAGCTTGTGTGCACCTGTATAGACGGAACGGATATTAGTTCTATTATGGTCTTTGACATGGATTGATTTGTTTTTTTTCATCATTTTTTTTTTTTACTTTTCAGGAAGGATGCACAAGATTAGCTCCAACTGTAAGTACTTCTTGACAATAAGTCATTTTATATAAAGAATGTTTTCCGGTGGTTGGTTGCTGAGTGAAAAATATTTATTGATAATAGTTTTGGAAACCAAACAATAATGACTTTTGTTATACCAAAAACCCATGTTGCTCTAACGCTTCAAAAATGCCACCAAGTGCATGTCGGATCTTCCAAAATAATGCATTTTTGGAGGATCTGACAAGGGTGCAACAACATTATTTGTGAGAGTCCGAGCAACATGGGTAAGAAAAGATTTAAAGAGAAGGTAAAGAAAATTGTTAAACAAGTAGCAAGTTAACTTAAATTCTTCACTTCTTATTACAACAACTATGCCTCAGTCCCAAACAAGTTGGAGTCTGCTATATGAATCCTCATTTCTACGCTTGTTCCACAGGCGTTGAAGTTCATTCTTTGCAGTCAGAGTTCCATCAGTAACATGTACTTTGCAAACAGTGCGCAAACTCATATACTTATAGAGAGATGCAATGGTTTCAACGTGAACAATGTAATGATTCAATCTCCAGGAAATAGTCCAAATACTGATGGAATTCACATTCAATCTTCTCAAAATGTGGCCATTACAAATTCTAAAATTAGCAGTGGTACTCTTCACTTGTCAATTTTTCTAAAAATTTTGTGTTATATTTTAATTATTAGTGATGTTTTTTTGACTTGTTTTAGCTTTGTGATTAACAGGAGATGATTGCATTTCAATTGGAGATTACTCTTCTAATATCCAAATATACAACATTCAATGTGGACCAGGTCATGGTATAAGGTTGTCTCCTCATGATTACTTTATCCTGTATCCGCAATCCATTGGCCTGACTAATTTAGATTCGCGCTTGGTAGGTTGACTTAGGGGGGGGGGGGGGGGGTTAAGAACTCTTTACCAAGAAGTTCTTTATTTCGGGCTCGAACTAGAGACCTTTGGTTAAGGACGGATGGATCCAAACCTATCTCACCACACTCTTTGGTGGTTTTCTAATCTTCTAATAATAAACTATATTATGATACAAAAAATAGTTACAATAAGGTGACAAAGACTATAAGAACTCCTAAAGTTTAAAATGTCTTGAACAAAAGAAGTGATCTTTGTGCTACGCTGCTCTGACTCTCCAAAATTGTTGCCACACCTACGTTGAATCCTTCAAAAAACTATTATTGGAGGATCCATTATACATCTATCAGCATTTTTGAAGAGTCCTAGCAACATAACTTATGGGATAAATGATTGACTACTTAGCATTAGTTCGATGAGGATTTTGACATAGAGACTTCAATTAGGCTGAGATTAAAAGGTTTGACTCTCGAAATATGAACTGTGCCACATAAACTGGGACAGAGGGAGTAGTATGTTTTAACTTCTTAACACTAATGAAATCTTTTTATTCTGCTTGTATTCAGTATTGGAAGCTTAGGAAAAGGTGGTCATTCTGCTCAAGTAGAGAACATTCATGTGAACACTGTTTTCTTCTATGGAACTACAAACGGAGCTCGTATCAAGACATGGCAGGTATATAAATCAGACTTAGCCAATGAAATAATTGAACTCAACAACAGAACAATACTATTGAAACATCAAACATGATCATTTCACTATGTATCTATATTACCTGTCGAAAATACTGGATTCAGTTGACCTCATATAGTATATATGCTCCATTCGTCTCTGGCTATTAACTTCTTACGAACGTCATGATGTGAATAGGTTGGCAGAGGCTATGTCCGAGATGTCACGTTTGAGAATCTTCAATTCAACTCTGTCAAGAACCCCATCATAATTGACCAGAATTACTGTGATGTTCGAGGGGCTTGCAAGGAAATGGTAATACAATTTAACACAGCTTGAATTACATATTCAGATCTTCAATTACTCAGACTCTTCAAAAATGCTGACGGATATACCTTATCAATATTGTTTCAGACACTAGTACATTTTCCAAAATCACAGTTACTTAGATATCTATCCCCTTGGACAAAATCCGTGTCGGATCCTCCAAAAATAGTGCATTTTTTGAGGATCCGATACGGATGCAACAACATTTTGAAGAGTCTGAGTAACATAGATAAAAAAACTTACTTATGTTAACACCAAATCAATAAATGTATGACACATATCTTGTGGCAGTAAGTATTTTTCTATTCAGTAGATGAATCAACTGTATCATTAACATTTTCATGATAGGGAACTGGAGTGAAAATCAGCAATGTTGTTTACCAGAACATATACGGAACGTCGAGCACGGATATCGCGATAAATTTAAACTGCAGCATGTCTGTGCCATGTACAGATATAACAATGCAGCTTATACAACTAACACCAGCAACACCAGGAAGGCAAGTTAAAGCTTATTGTAGGAATGCTAATGGCCAAGAATATGGAATCGAACCCGGTCCTTGTCTCTCTGGAGTTTGAGATTTTACTTCTCTCAGAATTCTTTGTTGTGTGCATAACTTGAAAAGCAGAGGAAAAGTGAAACAAAATGAAGAAACTTGTCAGTGTTGCAGCATAGTATATATGGTCAAGATCCATTCAATCATACTAACTATTGTGTATTTCAATTTTTTTGTTTGGTATTGGTAATTGTCGTCTCTATTGTAACGTTTGGATATTTGATGAAAAAAATAGACTTGCAAGTGGTTTTCAATATGATCGTGCACAGTTTTTAACATTAATTATCTCAAGTGTAGTGAATTCTGCAAAATAATGAGGGATTGAGTCTAAACACCAGCAATGTACAAGAAACAGTCGTTCAAGGCAAGGAAAGTGATCACTAGTGCCTCTCCAATACCGGATTTTATGAATATTTCAGTCACAAGAACTTCAAGTGAGGAAATCCTTCCTCAACTACTTCCTACTCATCTCCTTTGTAGGCATTATATGATAGTTTAAGGGACTCGAGTTTAGGCAATTTACCAAGCACTCCAACTGAAACCTTAACTTGGTCTCAACTGACAACTAAACACTCTAGCTCATCCCTTTTGTGTCTCGTGGACACCTGATGTTGACGTGAAACATAACTATTGGAGGTGTCAAGATGATTATTCGGTAAAATGGAGTGTTCAACTGACATAGTAGAGACGAGTTGAGGTTTCTAGACGTGCATACTCAAAGTTGAAATGTTTACTTGCCAACTGACCAAGTTTGAGTGCCTGTTTATGTATTATGCCAGTGTAAAAATGAGTACTTTAAAAGTTCATGCAATAAAGTTTACTATTACTTCTTGCCTTCTGCTTCCAAGCTTGTTAATGCCTCAAGATCGCCTGTTATATTGCGAAATTTCTCCAAAAAAGCTCTCAAAGATTCAAGCTTTTCATAGAACAGTTGCAAATCACATCCACTGAGTTCCATTGATTGATACATGGATCAAAAACACAACGATACGAAAAAATAGCTAGAATAACCAAGAGGCCTAAGTATTTTTTGAAAGTAATCACATATCAAGGACTCTATAAATCAAAGAAGAGAAGGCTCTGATACAATATCGAGAATATGTTAATGTAGATCATATAAGATACTCTATGATCTGTCCATCATGCTAACATTTCATAAGACAAGTAATAGCAGCATATGCCATACCTCTTAATCTCTCGCTTGCTTCTGTGACAAGAAAATAAGAGTTTCTACACAAAGAAGAAGGCAGAATATCTCAGTATCAATTGTCACAATTTGTGTAAATTTCTCAATTTAAAAAGCAGAAAATGCAAACTTCCACCACATTTCCAGCTAGGTCCACAAGTTAATGAAATCCCATGTGAAACATGATATTGTTCTTTCTTGTATTCCCTCCGTCCCATTTTATGTGAAAACAATTGAAGTGGTTGTAAATACGTAATTTTTTACCGAACTTAAGTGTTACACCCTTTTTAAAGCTTAAATATTTTTAAAAAATATAAATTAAATATTTTGACTTTTACCTTATTTTATTAACTTTATTTTTAAAGATTTGAAAACAACAAAAATAGAATCACATTTTTAGATAAAATTTTATTTTTTCAATGGTTTAAAAAGAAATGAAAATTTACAAAAAATTATGTGTTCTTTTAATTTAGATTAATAAATAAACTAGTATTATCTTTTTCAAATTGGTTATTTAACTTTTTAGTTCAAAATAATTAATTTGATTTTTATATATATTTAATTTATAAAATAAAATAAAAAATAACCTAAACTACCCATTACCCACCCCTTAAACCTCTCTTCCACTCTCCACTCCCCCATATCCCACACCTCTCTACACTACCCCACTACCAGTGGCGGATCCAGGATTTTCGTTCAGGAGGTTCGAAAAATAAAGTATAAACGTGTAAATAAGTCTTTAGAAATGGAAACCTTGAATTCTTTTTGGTTTAAAACCAAACTTTTAGCACATTTTTTAAAGTAAAAAAACAAAACTTAAAAAAACTTGAAAAACAGAACTGAAAATTAAAAAAAAAAACCCTAAAAACTGAATAAGAAAAAAATAAAATGTTTTCACTGGGATTTGAACTGGTGACATACAACTTAATTTCAGGAGTACTTGCCACTGCACCATCAATTTCTATTTGTTATTGAGGGGGTTCAAATTTTATATATCTACAGAAATACAGAAAATTTACCTTATATATACCGTGTAATTTGGATACCACGTGGGTCCGTCCCTGCCACTACCCCATTTCACCCCACTTCCCCCTAATATGCACCTACAACTACAAACACTACACACAAACATCAACACTACATATATACCTACACTACTCTAGAAAAAAGAAACGGACAAAGACAACCAAAAAAAAAACACACGTAGAGAACCCAAAAAAAAAAAAAGATAACCAAAAAATCATCTGCACATTTTCCTTTTCCTTCATACAAATACCCACACAGAACATACAATATACACACCCAACCCATCAAAAACAATTTGTAGATTGACGTCAACAAAAACGCATCAGCAAATATACTCAAAAAAAAAAAAAAAAAAAAAACATACACCAAAACAACTTTTTTTGGTTTTCTCTGAAAACACAAACACACGCAGACAACCAAAAAATCAGGTTATATTTGGAGGCTCCGATCAAAATTAAGGCTCTTTTTCATATTCAAATTCTTTTCTTTAGGAAATTCTCTACGGATTAAGGTCCAACTCTAGCACTTTATCTTATTTATTTGGGTCTTACATAGAGTTATATAAATGCATAGGAAATACGGATTGATTTAGTTTCATGGCTTGTTATTGTATTGTTTAATTTTTAGGAAAAATTATGTAATTTATTTTGCATTGTTTGATTTTTGGAATAACTTTATAATTTATTTGGTCTATTATTCATGTCATTCTACTAATATCTTTGCTTAGATTTAAAATAAATAAAATATAGTGGATTAAGATTGATTTTTAGGTGTTTTTTAGAATATTATTGTGAAAGATGAAAAAGAATTAGCTTAAGGTTGCCAGTTGAATATCAATAAAAAAGAGAGCTTTATGTTTTAACAACATTCACATTATATATATATATATACTAGATGAGTTTTGCCCGTGCATAGCACGGGCCCAACATGATAATTTTAATTTCAATAAGTTTCCCTTGTTTTTAATTTAATGAAAAAACAACCTTCGTTTTTTGAACATTAGGTTTAAAACTTAGAGGGTGTTTGGATTGACTTAAAAGTTGATCAAACCTACTTTTAAATCAGTTTTTGATTTCTGAAAGTATTTGACAAATAGAAAAAATAACTTAAAATGATTTAAAATAAGTTAGGAAGTTTTTGGCAATGTCAAAAATGACTTAAAATAAGCTAAAAATGACTTAAAATAAGTCAAAAACCAAAAGTTGATCTCTCCCTACTTACTATTTTTTGACTTAAAAATCATTTCAATTTGACTTTCTATTTTTTACTTAAAACCTATTTTTTTCAAGTCAATCCATACGGTTAATTAGAATTAAAAGAACTAAGGGTGACATAACTAAAGTTGAAGTGGATGAGACTATGCAATCGCTTAACATCATACAAGAGTCGTCTATGCAATAAATTTGATTCTCCGTGGTGTACATTTTCATCCTATATATATAGGTTAGCAACTATTTGGCTTGTGAAGGAAGTGAATCAAAAATAGGGTAAGGTCGTTGTTGTTTTGCAAGGTTGAGCCTACCAGATTTTATTACACCTGCATAATTTAAATTTATACTGAATATTTGCTTCAAAATAACAAATCTGTCTTGAAGAAAATAGCACTTTCCATCTTGTACATACTACGAGACAACAATGAAATGAAAGAAGCTTCAACAACAATATTTACAAATGAAATGAATAGGAGCCAGCGGAAGTGTTGCGCAAATTAGCTCAAGTTAATGATAAGGTACAAACACAGACAATCAATATCAGTTCTAACCGCACCTACAGCCACATTGCAATCGTTCGTCTGATTGTGTAATCGCATGTATGAAAAGTTGTAGAATCTCAGGATTAGATATGAGGAGGTTTCATCTGAAATGAAGTCATTATTAGCTGAAACACCCACACATCCCTTTGGTATTTTTCTCATCATTTATCACTGCATTGCCGATCAGTTAGTTTGTTAGTTACGTTCAATTTAATCTGCACAACACAATATCATAAACATCAATGACTTCAATATTGTAGTCAGGACCATCTCCAGAATTGACATGATTTGTTGGTTTAACCATGTCTCAATTTTCCTGCAAAATATTTTAAAACATATAAATTTTTCATTATTCTTTTATTGTCTAAAAATACTTTAAAACGTTAAGCATTTTTATGTTTATATAATGTATGTATTTTGCAGTTTTCCAAGTCTTATGTCCATCTTCATCTATTGAACATAATTTCCTTTCTTAAAGCTAAAGATTTCACTTCAGTTTTTGTACAATGTCTCATCCCAAATGTAAGGTTCATTTGTGTACCAACATGTTTTCAACAAGTACAAGAACTCTAATGCTGCTCCATTTGAAAATGCATTATTTTTTGTTATGGAAGTATTACCTCAGATCTATTCATTATATTGAAGAATGAAGAAAGTCTCACATTAACCATTAATGAGATTCTCACAATGCTTGAACAATTCTTCCTTCGAGCTAGCTTTTGAGATGTAAGTTAAGTCCAAAACCTAATTTTATATGGTATCAAAGCAGGGCACTTGTTGATGTTGGGCCCCATATTAAATATTGGACCTGAGATGGGAGTTTGAAGAGTCCCACATCGAATAGAAAAAGAGATGAGTGGTCTCCTTATATGGAATTGTGCGAATTGTGCTATCTCCCTCAAGAGCTAGCTTTTGGAGTTGAGTTAGGCCCAAAATCCACTTCTCAAAACAATATTCAAAGCATTAAGAGTAAGAAAGCTATATAAACTATTTGATTACTTCATATATTGCAAGTCATACTTTCAAATAGAGGTCTAATAATGACAAGCATGGTTCCTGGGATACTATCACAGTAATCACATCGACATATCTATGAACTGATCAATATCTAAAAAGAGATATATATATCATA